GCATTTTTCTAGTTTCATGACAATTACTTGTGTGTAAGTGTATGGGTCTCTCTGACATTGTACCACAGGGTTCCATATCACAAAGGGAATGCTGGGATTGATTTTGGGGGTAATTGCCTCCAAATTTTAGGAATTAGGGGCCAAAAAGGGGCAAAAAACAAGCATTTTTCTAGTTTCAGGACAATAACTTGTGTGTAAGTTTATGGATCTTTATGAAATTGTACTACAAGGTTCCATATCACAAAGGGAAAGCTGGAATTTATTTTGGGGGTAATTGCCCACAACGTTTAGGAATAAGGGGCCAAACAGGGGCCAAAAATATGCATTTTTCTAGTTTCCAGACAATAACTTGTGTTCAAGTGTATGGATCTCTCTGAAATTGTACTGCAAGGTACCATACCACAAAGGGAAGGCTGGGATTGATTTTGGTGGTAATTCCCTAGAAATTTGAGGAATTAGGGGCCATAAAGGGGCAAAAAAACAAGCATTTTTCTAGTTTCAGGACAATAACTTGTGTGTAAGTGTATGGATCTTTATGAAATTGTACTACAAGGTTCCATATCACAAAGGGAAAGCTGGGTTTGAGTTTGGGGTAATTGCCCTAAATGTTTAGGAATTTGGGGCCAACAAGGGACCAAAAAACAAGCATTTTTCTAGTTTCCAGACAATTACTTGTGTTCAAGTGTTTGGATCTCTCTGAAATTGTACATGTGAACCTCCCGACGGGAGTACAATAATCCTGTTTTCAGGGGTCTCCTCATGACCTCCCGTTGAAGACAAAAAATTCCCGTGTATGAAATATTTCATGAATGAAAAATTTCAGCCCAACATATCTGGTGTAACTGACATTACCTGAAGTTATATTTTACCTGTAACATGCATAATTATATGGCTTCACTTGTCACCTTGGGCGTCAAACATACTGGTAATCAATGATTTTTACCTCAGGCTAACTGCCGTTGTGTAATAAAACTTTGTGTAGTTAAAATGAATGTTGGGTTACTTCCCTTGATTTATCCTGTTTTAAGTTACTTTCCTTTAGATAATGTTAATTTTTAAAAGAATATAAATAAAATATAAGTTGAACAAATAATCATAAAAGGATGGTAATCAAATGATTTTAAATGTCTTAGGACAAATGAAAAAATAATAATTTGAAAATTATTTGAGGGTTCTATACTTCCTTTTAAGGCTTAAATTGAAATTTTTATAATAAATATGACCCATGAATACAGTTTGAATGCATTACTTATCAAGCATTATAAATCTACTTGCATAAAGATAAAACAAAAGATCTACTTGCAGATAGATAAGCAATTGTTTTGATTGCAATGAATAATGGTAAAACAGATATGACCTAAAAAATTTAAAAGAACATACTAAAAAAGAAGAATGTTAGATTGAACAAGTTGAGAGTTTAAAAAGATAGAGAAAATTAATTAATAAGTACAAGGGTACTATAAACATAATACATTCGGATGGAAAGTTGAAGAAAACACACTTTAACAGACAATTTCTACAGCACACGGTTACATTTATGACAGAATTTATGTCGATTAAAAACCTCCTGATCTGAGTCCTAATCTCCTGACCAAAATTTCCCAAAGTCCTGATCTTAGTTTCACAGTCCATCACATATATGCAAGTTGAAGGTACCATACCACAAAGGGAAGGCTGGGATTGAGTTTGGGGGTGATGAATCATAAGGGGGTTCAAAAAATTTGGGGGGGGGGGATTTTTTTTTCATTTTTTTTCTTTAAAATTTTCCATTTTAAATTGGTTATTTCTGATTAATATATAAAAGCAAATAATAATGATATGGTTTGAATAGGTAAATTAAAAAATTTTAAGTTCTTAGACCACATTCATTCTGTGTCAGAAACCTATGCTGTGTCAAATATTTAATTACAATCCAAATTCAGTGCTGTATCAAGCTTGAATGTTGTGTCCATACTTGCCCCAACTGTTCAGGGTTCGACCTCTGCGGTCGTATCAAGCTGCGCCCCAGCGGAGCATTTTATTTCATCATGCTTGAAGATATTGATTGATAATTGGTATATAGTTTTATCATGACAAGTTCCAGATCAAGTTCAAATTTTTGTTTTGGTCTGATAATTTTCTGCATGTTATGGTCCTTGGACTTGAAAAATTCACTCATATAATCAGTTATTCACACTGTTTTTAGTCATGCTTAAATATAATGACTTGATATTTACTTTTTGTTTACACCATGACAAGTTATAGAACAAGTTAGCATTTTGTTCCAGTATAATGTAATTTTTACCCGGTAGGGGACTATGTATTGCCATGCAATACTCTCAGAATGCTTGTTTTCATAAATTTCTAATATGACATTGAGAATTAATTGAACTTTATTTGTTTATAGTCTGACAACAGATTTACTAAGTATTGCACAACAGCAAGAAATCTTTAATTGAATATAAATTTAATTCATATAACCAATTTCAAGTTCTTTGACTACATTTATTCAGAAACCTATAATATGTCAAATATTTAATTACAATCCAAATTCAGACCTGAATCAAGCTTGAATAATGTGTCCATTTTTTCCCCAACTGTTCAGGGTTGGACCTCTGCCGGCGTATCTAGCTGCACTCTGCGAAGCATTTTATTTGATTTTGAAGAAAATATGACGGATACAAAGAACATTTAAATGGCATTTTTAAGCCACTCATTAATACATATTGAAAAGCAAAAATAATCATGATGAAAGATTTAAGCAAAAAATTACAGGTGAGCAATTCAGGCTCTTGAGAGCCTCTTGTTGGCTTATATCTCTGAAACTAAAGCATTTAGAGCAAATCTGACACGGGGTAAAAATGTTCATCAGGTCAAGATCTATCTGCCCTGATGCATCAGACAACCCGTTGTTGGGTTACTGTCCTTGAACTGGTAATTTTAAGGAAATTTTGCAGTTTTTATACGACCGCAAAACATTTTGCGGTCGTATACTGGTATCACATCGTCGTCGTCCGAAGACATTTGGTTTCCGGACAATAACTTCAGTTTTAGTAAATAGAAATCTATGAAATTTAAACACAAGGTTTATAACCACAAAAGGAAGGTTAGGATTGATTTTGGGGGTTATGGTCCAAACAGTTTAGGAATTAGGGGCCAAAAAAGGGCCCAAATAAGCATTTTTCTAGTTTTCAAACTATAACTTGTGGAACGGTGTATGAATCTCTCTGAAATTATACCACAAGTTTCCATACCACAAAGGGATGGTTAGGATTGACTGTGGGGGGCTATGGCTCAAACCGTTTAGGAATTAGGGGCAAAAAAGGGGGAAAAACAAAGATTTCCTGGTTAATGGATAATTTAAAAGCAGTGTAAGGGAGGTAATCCAAACACATTTAAAGTATAATGTTGTGTATGTTTGGATTACCTCCCTTACACTGCTTTTAAATTATGTATATAGAAATTTTGTATTGTCTTGAGGTGATTAGCTGTCAATTTATTCTTAGAAGTTACTATTACAGGAATATTAATTTTAGCAATGATTATGACCATATCTTGAGGGAAAGAATTTTTCTTTTGAAAAAATGGGGGGGGGGAGGTGAAAAAAAAATTAAGGGGGGGCAGTGGGGTAAAAAAGAAATTGTAGACAATTTTTTTTTTCATTTCAGATTTCAGAAATTAAAAAGAATATTTCTTCAAATATTTTTTTTTTTTTTTTTTGCAAAAAAAGAGGGGGGGGGGGGGGGGGGGGCAATATGCAACGGCATAGTGTATTTCACAAAAGCAAAAAAAAAAGGGGGGTATAATTTTTTTTTTTTTCTGAAGGGGGGGGGGGGGTCAATTCGCAACAGCATAGTGTATTGCACAAAAGCAAAAAATTGAATATAAATTCAAATCATATAACCAATTCTAAGTTCTTTGACTACAGTTATTTGGTGTCAGAAACCTATTATGTGTCACATATTTATTTACAATCCAAATTCAGACCTGTATCATGCGCGAATATTAATGTGTCCATTTTTGCCCCAACTGTTCATATCATATCAAGATAAACTTTAAACAGCAAAATTGTTCAGCAAAGTAAGGTCTACAAATAAGTAAACATGACCAAATTGTCAATTGACCCTATAAGGAGTTATTGCCCTTTAAAGTCAGTTTTTCACTATTTTTCTTAAATTTTTGTAATCTTTTACAAAAATCTTCTCTTAAACTACTGGGCCTTGGCCTAAATCATTCTTACGGTATCTAGTTTAAAAAATGTATCTGATGACCCCGCCGATTAACTAAGATGGCCACCATGGCTAAGAATAGAACATAGGGGTTTACTATAGAAGTATATAGGAAAATTGTAAAAAAACAATTTCAAATGGTCACAACTTGAAAACTAATTTAAATAATGATAAGGGGTCTTCATTTCTAGTTATAAAAAAAAGAACTTAATGTATGAAGTAATGTTTTTCTACAATGGTTTTTTGATAAAAGTTCTTAAAAGTTGTAAAAAAAATCAATTTGACAAAGAAAGGAAATTGAGTTTTCGTGGTGCCTTGGCATGTTCTTGGTAGTCCGAGAGATATCATTATTAGTACTTTAAGATGACTTCTATTCAACTAATTAAAATGCTTGTTTGAAGTCAATGGTTTGAAAAAAGGACCAGAACTTTCAAGTCATCTCGAATCAAATTGACAGAAAGTGTGTAAAAAAATTTCCAGATCCTTGATAAGTACCCAAAGGGACAAACAGGTATAAATGCTTACTTGAAATTGAGTAAATTATTGCAGAAAAAAATGCAGAAACATTTTTCCGTTACCATATAAATGATTCATATGCAATAGATGTAACAAAATATACAGAATACAAAATAAATATCAAAAAATTATTAAAAAAAACTGCAGAGGTTTTCAGGCTACTACTGGTGTTGTGCAGATTAACTGTATTCTGTAGTGCCACATACCTTTGATATGTTTGTTGAGTGATTATTGATATGGAAATACTCTTAATTACTCTGTATGTTTATATAACAGGACATAATAAGCCCCCTGTAAGGTTCACATTTGCAGAGGTTGTAAAACACAGTCTGTCATTAGAACAAAATACACAGGCATGGTGTAATTCTTGTGAAAAGTACCAACCACATGTAAGTAGTATTATCTATTGAAATATGTTTTTTTTTTTATAGATTATGAAAATTGATTTTGAATGATGCAAAACATTTTTGGGTGTATATTGGGACAGGTCTGTCCCTGTCAAGTTATGTGTGAACACAGGGACAGTCTATACTAACGGGACTGGTCACTTATAACAATTTCTATACAAATTTGCAGACAGAACTGTGCCCTCGCTGATGTCACATGACTTCATAGCAAATCATTTCACATTTACGAAGTGTTCTTCATAACTAAACATTCAAGTTTAATGAAGTAAAATTTTTATGAAATTTTATACATTTTGTCATTGCAAAAAGCTGTTTTTGAAAAGATTTCTCGGATAGTTTTTAAAATATAACCCTTTGAACTTTGAGGTATTTTGTAAGAAATTTCGAGTGGCCGCCATCTTGTTCAATATGTAACCCCTTTTGCACGACTGGAGTGTTCTTCAAAACGATATGTCTCAGTTTAATAATTTAACATTCTTTTAAAATTTTATATATTTTGTCATGGTAAATGGCTATTAATCAGATTTTATATTGAAAAATATTAAATTACAATGTACTTTGAAATACGCAAATAACTACTACCATCGTATATCAGAGATACGAAACTTAGATTATTTTTGGGTGGTAGCTTTACATGGGAGGCGTACTTATTTAATTAAAATCAATAGAGAGGAGTCCTGTTAGGATAGAAAGTCCCTGGTGAACAGTTCTTGTACCTGTATTTTCTAACGGTAATGATCAAATACAAAATCATTGTGTATGTGCTTTCTTATTTAAGGCTTAAAAAGCTGATTTGTAATTTAGTTTATGATTTATTCCTCGAAAAGTTGAATATTTGATGTTTGAAAAGAAAATGAAAGAGGAGCAATTGAAGGCATGAATTTATGAGCCTTGCTCACAGGATTATAGTACATATCAACTGATTCAAATCAAAGTAAAATTTGACATATTTTTTAATTTAGATGCAGTCTAAAGTAATCAGAAATATTCCTGACATTCTGGCATTAAACTGTGGTATGGAGAACATCAGAGATTTGGAATTCTGGAAAATTCAACAAATGGTGAGATATAGCTTCAATTTATACTGTGACTTTACTGTAAGTGTTGCTCTCCCCCTATTGCAGTTCATTAAAATTCTGACCCAATTGTGATTTGTTTTATCAAACCAAACTGTTCAACTGGTCAGAAATTTTATCCAACTGCTGTAGAAAATCACAGTCAAGTCATCAAAGTGCAAGGTGATAAAATAAATCATACATACAATTCTGAAAGACTTTGATTCTACTAAATTGCTATTATGAAAATGTTGTTGAAAATCTATATATGTATGTTATATATATATAAATTTTAAAGAGTCATTAGAAAGGTGAATTGTAGTACTTTTTGAATTGCTATAAAAATGTCCAAACTAAGCTTTCATACTATTATTCTTTTAAAATGTCTTCTATATTCATAAGAATCAGACATCAGTTTGAATTAAAACATGGTATAGAGCCAACTAAAATTAATAAGTAGATTTTCATCCAACTTATAGAAAAATTTAGGGCTGGTTGGAGGATTTAATTTTTAGTCCCTTACCGACTAAGTTCAAGGGGACTTTAGGTTTGCAATCTGTCTGTCCATCTGTCAGTCTGGCAAATCAGTTTTCCAGACTTTTTTTCTTCGTGCTTTACGATATTGATTTGATATTTGGTATATAGTTTTATCATGACCAGTTACAGATCTAGTTTGAATTTTGTTCAGGTCTGATGATTTGTGCAGAGTTAAGGTCCTTGGACTTTGAAAATTCATGCAAGTAATCAGTTTTCCGCACTTTTTTTTGTCATGCTTGAAGATATTGATTTGATATTTGGTATATAGTTTTACCATGACAAGTTAAAGATCAAGTTCAAATTTTGTTTGGTTCAGATAATTTTTTTGCAGCTTTATGGTCCTAGGACTTAGAAAATTCACTCAAATAATCGGTTTTCTGTTTTCTTTTTCATTATGCTTGAATATATTGATTTGATATTTGGTATAAAGTTTTACCATGACAAAATACAGATCAATTTCGCATTTTGTTTGGTTTGGTTGAATTTTTTACAGCATTATGGTCCTCAGACTTAGAAAATTCATGCTAATAATCAGTGTTCCACACTTTTTTTGTCATGCTTGAAGATATTGATTTGATATTTGGTATATAGTTTTACCATGACAAGTTAAAGATCAAGTTCAAATTTTGTTTGGTTCAGATAATTTTTTTGCAGCGTTATGGTCCTAGGACTTAGAAAATTCACTCAAATAATCAGTTTTCCGTTTTCTTTTTCATTATGCTTGAATATAATGATTTGATATTTGGTATATAGTTTTACCATGACAAGATACAGATCAATTTTGCAATTTGTTTGGTTTGGTTGAATTTTTTGCAGCATTATGGTCCTCAGACTTAGAAAATTCATTCTAATAATCAGTGTTCCACACTTTTTTCGTCATGCTTGAAGATATTGATTTGATATTTGTTATATAGTTTACATCATGACAAGTAATAGATCAAGTTAGCATTTTGTTCCAGTACAATGAATTTTTAACCGATAGGGGACTATGTATTGCCATGCAATAGTCTTAATTTTTATTTCCTCTGAAACCATTTTAAAATGTGTTTTTCATATGTTATGGTAATAAAAAAAAAATAGGTTGTATATAAATAGAATTCTGCATACTTTTTCAACTATTTCCAAATTTCTAAATAATATTCCTGATTAGCAACCACTAATTTGCTTTAAAAACCAATTTTCAATCAGTAACAAAATGTGGAAGAATTTTGTCTTCTAGATTACTTGCATCAAAGTTCTTTCGCTCTCTGAGCTATTTTTGTAGTGCCAGTAAAATGAAGCAGTGTTTCAGGAACACCATAGGCCCTTTTAGCTAAATTAAAGTGATAACCATCCACATCAGATTGATAAACCCCCATGAATGATATCCAAAGTGTAAGAATCACAACACACATTGGAATTGAAAACAAGTATATTGAGTACAGAGATGGAACATAGATGAAAACCAAAAATATATGTGTTAAATACTAGGATTGATGCTTTGAAGATTCTTGTGCAAGATACACCAACTGCCTAAAATATGAACTGAACCAAAAGAAGAAGTTGTTTCATGACTTTATTGAGAGGCTGGGTTAGAGGGTTTTGGATATTTATACGACGGCAAAAAATTTGGTTTTTCTGGTTTCCAGACAAATACTTTAGTATTAGTCAATGGATCTCTATGAAAATGTACCACAAGGTGCCTTACCACACACAGAAGGTTGGGGTCGATTTTGTGTGTTGTGGCTTTAATCGTTAGGAAACTAGAGGCCAAATGGGGGCCAAAAACAAGACTTTTCTAATACTGGCTAAGCTGGTTCTAACATAAATTATTTCTGATCTATATAAAGAAACAACAAATACTGATATGGCAGGAGATACACACCAAACAGGGTGTGTAAATTTTTATATTTAGTTTGTAAACAGATTTACTAAGTATTGCGCAACAGCAAAGTATTGCACAACAGCAAGAAATCTTCAATAGAAAATAAATATGAATCTTTTAACCAATTTCAATGAGAATCAATTTAAAGTCTTGAATTGTTTGAGGTTGATACCATGTATTACTATATTGGATATTTGGACATTTTGAAATAGGTCTACATTGAGGTCCAAGTGGTCCAAAATTAGACTTTGTTTGTATTCATCAAAAACTGAATTCTTGTGGTTCTTTGATATGCTGAATCTAACTGTGCATTCAGATTTTTAATTTTGGGCCCTGTTTTCAAATTAGTCCATATTAAGGTCCAAAGGGTCCAAAATTAAACTTCAAATTCATGGTTTTTATTTATATGCTGAATCTAACCTTGGATATTGGATCATTAAGTAGATTAAATGTCCCATTTCAAATTTTTAAGTTATCTGACCACATTTATTCTGTGTCAGAAATCTATAATGTGTCAAATATTTAATCACTATCAAAATTCAGAGCTGTATCAAGCTTGAATATTGTGTCCATACTTGCCCCAACTGTTCAGAGTTCGACCTCTGCAGTCGTATCCAGCTACTCCAGGCGGAGCGTATTTTTGTCAACATATAAGTGTAATTTGGAAATTAAATCTAGTTATATGTTGGCGAACGTTTTGTAATAAAATTTTATATGAAACAGTGTAATACATTGCTCAAGGTTGTAATTGGGTAAACATGATTTCTTTACACCAGTCATGTTTTTCACACCAATGTGTGCAATGATTTTTTGCGCTTTAGAAATCATTTGTGGAGGTTTGTGATTAAAAAATTTCCTAACACAAAGTCATTGTATTAATAAAGGATCCACTGTTTTCTAATCACTGAAATTTGTGACGTACTGCAATTTGTATTCTTTGACATCGCTAATTGATCGTAACCCGAATATTTTAGGCCCTTCCCATAATCAATTTCTCCTACCTGCAATGTAACTTAGCCATCTTAGATCAACTTAATTAATCTTGTAGAACTACTAGAAGAAATATGAAAACCATGTCAATTTTTGCAATAGGAAATTTTGTATGAAATTATAAACAAAAAAATCCCGAAATTGTAAATTACAATATGTTGTTAATAAGTTTCCAATAGAGATAATCTAAAATCATTGATCTTTTGAAATATTGATCTTGTCTCCCTTTAAATTTTCAAGAGAATATATTTCACCAAATATTTTAGATATTCATTTAAAGAAAGCTTTGTAGCATGCATAGAAAAACATCTTCCATTTAAGAAGAAATAATTCAAAAAATTAAATTTGGACATTTCTTGAGCAATTCAAAAAATTATTATGTCTCATCTTACCGATTACTCTTTACAATACAGATTTTCAAAATAACAATGAAGTGGAATTAAAGTCTAGTATATATATACGTAGGATTAAAAGTATGCTTTACTGAAAATCGGCAGAAGGCCTACAAGTATTGTCCACCCCCCTTTTGAATGGAGTTCTTCTGAGACTATTTGAAGGATTGTTTGCCATAATGCGTTAAGACCATATTATACTGCCATTTTGATTTGACTATTTTTGTCTCAACCATGTTATGGAGGCAAGACCTAAGTATGCTGTAGCCGGCAGTGGTTGCTTCGACAACGTGTTGTGATGGTCAATATAAGGGGAACCACTAATTGAAAGTTGATGATATTTGGTTTGCAGTTGTATAGGCATTGGCACATTGCATTTCTGTTGAGATTGTTTGGCCACAAACCCCAGTCATGATCAATTGACTTTAAAAACTTTTTGTCTAGTTTACATTTCAAAATTTGTGATTATGTCAGTTTTATGGGGGAACAGCTAATGGTAAGTCAATGATATTTGTTATGCAGTTGTTTTAGCATTTGCACATCTCATATCCATGGAGATTATTATGCCCAGTCCCCTCAGTCATGGAACATTTACTTTGAAGCTTTTGCATATTTTACATGTAAAATTTTGTGATTAGGTCAGTTTAAGTTGAACTGCTTATGGTAAGTCAATGATATTTGATATTTAAAGTTTGTGATTTGGCTAGTTTAAGAGAAACCACTGAAAATAGGTCAATGATATTTGGTATGCAGTTGTATTAGCATATATAGGCATATCTCATTTGAGGGAGATTAGTTTGCCCTGCACATTCAGTCATGGTTCATTGACCTTGAATATTTGCATAGGTTACTTGTTATACCCCCCTGCAAACAAAGGGGGAGTATATAGGAATTACCATGTCCAACTGTTTGTCCGTCCATCTATCTGTCTGTCAGTCCGTGCTGCTTTGTGTCCGGCACATTCAAATCTTTTGAACCGTAAAAATAAGGTTTATCAAACTTGGTATGCAGTTGCATCATGGGCTGGGGTGTGTCATATCAAAAGCTAAGTCACGCTGGCTTTGACTTTGACCTTTGACCCCTATGACAGTAAAATCGTGTCTGGGGACATATCAATTGAACCCTAAAACTCAGTTAACCAAACTTGGTATGCAGTTGCATCATGGGCTGAGGGTGTTTTTATCTTTGACCCCTATGATAGTAAAACCTTGTCTAATTTATCTCTAGGTTAACTAAACTTGGTATGCAGTTGCATCATGTACTGTGGAGGAGGGGGGGGGGGGTCAGATCACTTTGACCTTTGACCCCTATGATAGTAAAACTGTGTCCGGGAAGTTGCTTTTGAACTGTAAAACTTTTGTTCATCAAACTTGATATGCAGTTGCATAATGGGCTGGGGTGTGTCATATACAGAAGTCTGGTCACTCTGACCTGGACTATTACCTTTGACCGCTTTGATAGTAAAACCTTGTCCAATTTGTGTTCCACGCATATCTTTTGAACTGTAAAACTCGGGTGTGTTAAATTTCAAAATCAGGTCACTCTGACCTTGGATTTGACCTTTGACCCCTATGATAGTAAAAGATTGTCTGATTTGTGATTGGTGCATAACTTTTATACTGTAGCACTTTAGATTGACAACACTTTGTATGTAGAAGCATCTTACTGACCTTGGCCTTTAATTTTTGAATTTACAATATACAAAAAAAAAGTAAAAATAAAAAAAATACCAAACTCCAAGGAAAATTCAAAACGAAAAGTCCTTTATGAAATAGCAAAACCAAAAGCTCAAACACATCAAATGAATGGAAAACAACTGTCATATTCCTGACTTGGTACCAGCATTTCCTTATGTAGAAAATGGTGGATTAAACCTGGTTTTATAGCTAGCTAAACCTCTCACTTGTATGACAATCGCATAAAATTACATTATATTGACAACAATGTGTGAGCAAAACAAACAGACATAATAGGTAAAAATGTCAAAATTGGGGTGTAGCAGTCAACATTGTGTTGTAATCTTAATCACTATAAAAACAAATGACTATTTCATCAAAGAAATCAAAATGGCATATAGACACTCTATAGACAAAGTACATAAGCAAAAATGAAAGACAAGAATACAAAAATAACACAATAACACAATGGTGGGATGTATAAATACTGAGCAACGCCAAAAGTATATTACCAAAAATGGACTAAACAGTAAAGGTTTGAAATATACAAAGACAAATAAAAAAACCCACTATAACAGGTACCGTAGATACTCGCCTAATAGTCGATCCTACTATAAGTCGGGGGCCCTTTTCAGCTCCAAATTCTAAGGATTTAGTCTTGACCCTCGTATAAGTCAGACAAAATTTGGGGTTTTTTTTTTCAGCTGACAGTAACTGAACGCCGGTAAAACCTATGCAAATCCAGGAATAATATTCATTTCTGCATTAATGTTTGTTTGGTTTGAATTTAGTTGATGCTCATCATGATAATTTATATTGCTGTTAATAATAAAGATGTATTCATTTCTCTTGTTTTGTTCACTGTTCAAATGTTAGATTAGCCATGTGTTGTTTACGTAACGCATCAATGATTTTGTAGGGTATGACTAACAACCTATTGTTTGAGAAAAGCGAATATAAACCAATATGAACCTGAAAAATTTAAAGTCAATCAACACTTGATGAAAATATTTTTCACAGCATACATAACTCGGTGTTAAATGAGCATGTACACTTCATAATTCTTATTATATTGTGATGATTAAAGGATTAAAAAAATTAAGTGAAGCTAATCAATATATTAAAATAACTAACTCTAACTCATTAGTGTCATCTGTTTACCTATCACTAATAGTTTTCACACCTTTAGTAAATACAACTCTTTGTCTCTTAATTGGGGTTATCAATGGATTATATTGACTTGTCAATCAATTTTGTAATTTGTTTACTGAGACACTTTAATGAATAATATTTTGATTTTGGGAATGAATCTTAAAATTATTTTTTGATTATTATATGATTTATAAGCATTGAATTGATATCATGATATCACAATAATGACACAATAACTCCGCTGAAAACATCCTTTCACATATTTGGTACATTATTATCTCCTTTTCATTTTTGGTTCTTGGCTCTTCTTTTGGGTTTATAGGAAAACCATGTGACCATGAAAATCAATACACAAACCGGAAACAGTAGAATTTCAACACGAATTTGCAGAAAATGTTTACCAAAGAACAAATAAAACACAAAGACAGTATTGTAGTCATTTATTTTAAACAAAAACTTTTTATTTATTGATTTATGTAGGTTTGGCAATCAAAAACGTAGTTTTGACCAGGAAATTCACTCCTGACCACTTTTTTCAAGCTTGGATTTTTCCTCTGGTCGCTAGATCTCGTCTATTAGTCGGTCCCCCTCTCTGGATTATGAATTTTACTCCCAATTTTCCGACTAATAAGCGAGTAGGAACGGTAATTAAGATGATAAACAACGTCAGTACCTAGAACCTAGTACAAACTTCAGACTTTGTTCCTGGATCAGTATAATTCTTTATGATAGACTTATCAGTATCCCTGTGTCAGCCTAACATAGAGGCAATAATTATATAAAATGAATTCCTGAAAAACAAGAAATCTCAATACTGAATTTCAAAGCAGCAACTAAAATGCATGTACAGGGCTATTAGGCCCGCTTTGTGGACAGCTCTTAATTAAAGTATCGCAATTTTAATTTCATACTTTGCATTATATTTTCAAAATAGCATACAGGCCAGACATATCTATGTGTCAGCTGTTTATTACAAGAGTAATGAGACCACAATGACCCTTGTGAATACAACTCGGACACATTTTGACTCAAAGTCTCATACTTGATAGGACTGACTGTTTGCTATGTGTAGTTGGCCATATTGTACCTTCATTTTAATTCGATCATTTTTATATGCCCGTTTACGGGACGTATTATGGTATACTGTATGTCCGTCGTCAACATGTCGAACATTAATTCAAAAATGCTTTAACCAATATGCATGAAGCTTTGGTGAATTGTTTATATCTATTGACGTGAGCTCCCTTTCGTTTTTTATAAATTTCAGATTTACCATATCCAGGTTTTGGGGTTTTATTCATTAAAAAAGGGGGCATTTTCCAGTTTTCGGACAATAACTCAAAATAATTTCACCAATTTGCATGAAACTTTTGTGAATTGTTCATATCTATTGACGTGAGCTCTCTTTCGTTTTTTATAAATTTCTGATTTACCATTACCGAGTTTTGGGGTTTTATTCATTAAAAAAGGGGGGATGTTCCAGTTTTCAGACAATAACTTAAAAACAATTTCACCAATTTGCAAGAAACTTTGGTGAATTGTTTATTTCTATTTACATGAGCTCCCTTTTGATTTTTATAAATTTCAGACTATATGTTTCCGATTTATGGGGTTTTATTCATTACAAAAAGGGGGATTTTCCAGTTTTCGGACAATAACTCAAAAACGCTTTCATAATTTTTTATGAAACTTTGGTAAATTGATTATATCTATTTTTATAAGCTCCCTTATGATTTTTATAAATTTTCGATTTATGTTTCCGAGTTATAAGATTTTATTTGTTTATAGTCTGACAACAGATTTACTAAGTATTGCGCAACAGCACAGTGTATTGCACAACAGCAAGAAATCTTTCATATAACTAATTTCAAGTTCTTTGACTACATTTATTCAGAAACCTATAATATATCAAATATTAAATTACAATCCAAATTCAGACCTGTATCAAGCTTGAATATTGTGTCCATTTTTGCCCCAACTGTTCAGGGTTGGACCTCTGCGGGCATATCCAGCTGCGCTCAGCAAAGCAGTTTATTACTTGAGTTATGGGACTTTAACCTTTTTTTTGGACTATTGTACCACAATGACCCTTGTGAACTCAACTCTTTTGAGACTGTTTGACAGAAAAATCTCATACTTAGGATTGTTTGCCTTGATGTGTAGTTGAAAATATTGTACTGTCATTTTTTGATTCGACCATCTTTATAGGAGTTATGGGACTTTGATCATAATTTACATGCAGCAGGGCCCTCTGTGATGGCTGGCATCACTTTCCTTTAGTTACTGTTAACATAAAGATCACTCTCATTGTGACTTAAATCACTTTAAGTAAAAGGTCAACTAAATATTGAATATGTTAGCAGTGATGAACACAAGACTTTTCTGTCAGAATTCCCTTTACTTTTTTTTCAATATCTATAAAAATGGACCTGGATGAAACCAGGGCCCAAATGGAAAAGAACACGTGTTATAATCTATTTATCACATATTATACAAATGCTTAAAAAAAGTACGACGAATTTTATTGTTCTGTCTAGCAAGATCATACATTTTTTATCCTCCATTGAAATAACTTTATTATAACGAAGTTATTTTCAAAACTACAGTCCTTGAATATTAAAATGTCAATGTCAGATTTTTCTTTATTTCTTTAACAAATACCGCTGTCTTTTTAATTGACGTTCCCCATCCTTCATTGTTATTAGGAATGTTTATGACGTCATAACAGGGCACAATAACCGGTTATTTGCCCTGGTCAGGAATATGACAAGGGCAAATCTGCAGGTATTGCATATGCAAAACCCTATGTTTCTTAACAAATATGTGATAAAACAGTTCATTGCAGAAAAGGTTTGGAGGAAACTGTGGTTAAGAATATTATATTTTATTAAGATAAACTATGCAAAGTATTTGCATTTTAATCACAATAATTCTAACTGAAAAGCAACTATTTGTTTGACTCTTAACTGTTATCTTCAATGTCAGGCTTTAGTTAACGAAATTTCTGTTCAATAAAACAAATGTTGTCCTCAAACCAAGTAAATAACTGTATAATAACATTTCATTATGGTATATATGTACAGTTGATTAAACAGAAGAGAGAGGAAGAGGGATCGTCTCAGTCATACTCAATGATGTCATCACAGATGCCTGTTATGTGCCGTTATGGTAGGGCATGTACAAGGAAAGGCTGCCGATTTAGACATGAGACTGACTTGAAGAGGTATGTGATGAAGTCACTGTATGTTTATGATGAATAAAAAGAGATGTAGGGTATATATCAATTAGACAGCAACCCAATGACACAAGTAACCAAACTTCATCTAGAGGTCAACATACAAGTCTACAACAAAAATAAAGGCAACAGTAGTATACCGCTGTTCGAAAACTCATAAATCGATAGAGATAAAAGCAAATCCGGGTTACAAACTAAAACTGAGGGAAACGCATCAAATATAAGAAGAGAACAACAACACAACAAAAACACAACATTAAAATGTAACACACACAGAAATGAACTATAATATAACAATGGCCATTTTCCTGACTTGGTACAGGACATTTTAAGAAAAAAATGGTGGGTTGAACCTGGTTTTGTGGCATGCCAAACCTCCTGCTTTTATGGCAACGTCAAACACAACACCAAAACGACAACATCACATGACAGGACCACAATTCAAATAAATGGGAGAACATATAGGACAAAGAAACACACGAATAATAGCTAACAAAAGGTACTAGGCTTAAAATTCAAAACGTCAGACGTGCGTCTCGTCCACACAAGACCAACCAGTGACGCTCAGATGAAAAAAGTTTGAAAGCCAAAACAAGTACAAAGCTGAAGAGCACCGAGGACCAAAACTTCCAAAAAGTAGTGCCTAACACGGCCAGGGTTTTCTGCCTGGGACAAGAACATCCTTATTATTTGAAATAATTTATAATTTTGCAAACGGTAAATTTTATAAAATGACTATATAATAGATATACATGATAAAACCAAAGTGGGGACTAACTACAGAATAAAAATGGATACATTACATAAAACAACTTAATCCAACACATAAAAAAATACACAGCCGAGTTGGCCAACGCCTCAACGCACAAAGTGACTTCACATTTGAAATTCTTAAAAAACACACAGAGTGACGTCACATTTGAATTTGTAAAAATATTTCCCAAAAATAAGATAGGATTAGGATTGATTAAAGATTAGATTTGTAATACTGACATTACATTTATTAATAACAATGAAAATTACAATACTTATTAATATCAAATGGTAGTAAATAGATAATTAATTGTATTATCTAGCTATGTCGGTGTTTCTTCTGAATCAAACTGTAAACCAAATATATTGTATAAATTTCGTTGAACCAAACTAAAATCTAATAAATGAAGGGGGTGATTAATTATCTTTACCATAACACACGAATATAACAGAAAAAACTTTAAGACATTTGACCAAATCCGACGAGTACAACAAATATAACATCAAAATTAAATACATGAATTTGGGATAGAAAGGTACTGTGACACGTCTTATAGCAATGCTGTTTCACACTCAGCAAAACAGTCACAATCGGGGAATAAGTCACATTCGGTAATTAAAAGATCAGACGACGTAATGACAAACCACAATCTAACACACGGTAAAAATGTCCTTAGTTAGTTTGGACAAAGACACATCGTATTGATCAACCAATTGGTGATGGTGTCCGTAAAATTTACGGAGTGTCATTATACGACCGCAAAAAAATTTTGTGGTCGTATATTGTTATGACGTTGGCGTCGTCGTCTGAATACATATTGGTTTTCGCACTCTAACTTTAGTTTAAGTGAATGGATCTTTTTGAAATTTGACCATAAGGTTAAATACCACAAAAGGAAGGTTGGGACTGATTTTGGGGGTTATGGTACCAACAGTTAAGGAATAAGGGGCCAAAAAGGGGCCAAAAATGAGCATTTTCTAGTTTCCAGACAATAACTGTGGAACGGTGTATGGATCTCTCTGAAATTATACTACAAATTTCCATACCACAAAGGGATGGTTAGGATTTGCTTTGGGGGGTTATGGCTCAAACCGTTTAGGAATTAGGGGCAAAAAAGGGGGAAAAACAAGGTTGTCCTGGTTAATGGACAAATACTTTAGTACAAAACATAATTTAAAGCAGTGTAAGGGAGATAAATCAAATACATCATTGAAATTATCTCCCTTACACTGCTTTTAAATTATGTATAAAGTAATGGTTAATGAACAATAAAGATAATCTAAAACAGTGTAAGGGAGGTAATCCAAATACAACGTTTTGGTTACTTCCCTTACACTGCTTTTAAATTATGTTTAAAGAAATGCATATTTATAAAGGAAGACCAGTAAAAATATCTGCAAATGTTTTCATCTTTTTTTTTTACAAAAAAATCCATATGAAAGATTTGACACTATATTTTTATTAATTCTATTATAAAATAGATTAAGTTAGCACTATGGTAAATTTAAATGGGTAATTATGGTTGCCAACTCCATTGGAAATTTGAATTGAGATTATGACCATATCTTGAGGGAAAGAATTTTTTTGGGGGAAAAAGGGGGGGGGGATAAAAAGAAATTGTGGGGGGCCAATTTTTTCTCATTTCAGATTTCAGAAATTAAAAAGAATTATTCTTCAAATATTATTTTTTTTTCAAATTTCAAATATTGAAAAATTTCAAGAAGTAATCTTTAATTGCACAGTATGGCGCATTAGATTTGTAAAATCTTTGATCACATTTATTTATTTGTTATGCCGAATCTAACAGTGTATTTAGATTTTTAATTTTGGGTCCAGTTTTCAAATTGGTCTACATTAATGTCCAAAGGGTCCAAAATTAAACTTTGTTTGATTTTAGCAAAAATTGAATATATGAGGTTCTTTGATATGCTGAATCTAAACATGTATTTAGATTTTTGATTTTTGGCCCAGTTTTCAAGTTGGTCCAAATTGGGGTCCAAAATTAAACTTTGTTTGATTTCAACAAAAATTGAATATATGGGGTTCTTTGATATGCTGAATCTAACCATATATTTAGATTTTTTATTTGTGGACCCCGTTATCTAATTGGTTCATATTGAGGTCAAAAGGGTCCAAAATTAAACTTTGTTTGATTTCATCTAAAATTGAATTATTGGGGTTCTTTGATATTCCAAATCTAACCGTGTATTTAGGTTTTTAATTTTGGGTCCTGTTTTTTAAATTGGTCTACATTGAGGTCCAAAGGGTCCAAAATTAAACTTTGTTTGATTTCATCAAAAATTGAATTCTTGGGGTTCTTTGATTTGCTGAATCTAAACATGTGTTTAGATTTTTGATTATGGGCCCAGTTTTCAAGTTGGTCCAAGATAGGGTCCAGTATTTAAACTTTGTTTGATTTCAACAAAAATTGAATATATGGGGTTCTTTGATATGCTGAATCTAAACATGTATTTAGATTTTTGATTATGGGCCCAGTTTTCAAGTTGGTCCAAATTGGGGTCCAAAATTAAACTTTGTTTGATTTCAACAAAAATTGAATATATGAGGTTCTTTGATATGCTGAATCTAACCATGTATTTAGATTTTTTATTTGTAGGCCCCGCTATCAAATTGGTTCATATTGAGGTCAAAAGGGTCCAAAATTAAACTTTGTTTGATTTCATCGAAAATTGAATTATTGGGGTTCTTTGATATGCCAAATCTAACCGTGTTTTTAGATTTTTAATTTGGGTCCAATTTTTTAAAGCTTCATTGAGGTCCAAAGGGTCCAAAATTAAACTTAGTTTGATTTTAACAAAAATTGAATTCTTGGGGTTCTTTGATATGCTGAATCTAAACATGTGTTTAGATTTTTGATTATGGGCCCAGTTTTGAAGTTGGTCCAAGTTGGGGTCCAAAATTAAACTTTTTTTGATTTCAACAAAAATTGAATATATGGGGTTCTTTGATATGCTGAATCTAACCATGAATTTAGAATTTTTATTTGTGGGCCCCGCTATCAAATTGGTTTATATTGAGGTCAAAAGGGTCCAAAATTAAACTTTGTTTGATTTCATCAAAAATTGAATTATTGGGGTTCTTTGATATTCCAAATTTAACCGTGTATTTAGATTTTTAATTTTAAGTCCCGTTTTTTAAATTGGTCTACATTAAGGTCCAAAGGGTCCAAAATTAAACTTAGTTTGATTTTAGCAAAAATTGAATTCTTGGGGTTCTTTGATATGCTGAATCTAAACATGTGTTTAGATTTTTGATTATGGGCCCAGTTTTCAAGTTTGTCCAAGTTGGGGTCCAAAATTAAACTTTTGTTTGATTTTAACAAAAATTGAATATATGGGGTTCTTTGATATGCTGAATCTAACCATGTATTTTGATTTTTTGGACATTGGACCATAATAGGTAAATTAAAAAAATTCAAGTTCTTACCACATTCTTTCTGTGTCAGAAACCTATGCTGTGTCAAATATTTAATAACAATCCAAATTCAGAGCTGTATCAAGCTTGAATGTTGTGTCCATACTTGCCCCAACTGTTCAGGGTTCGACCTCTGCGGTCGTATCAAGCTGCGCCCCAGCGAAGCATTTTATTTTTAATATGTCCTCATAACTTTGTTGGAGCAGTTTCTGCGTAAGGAGCACACTCCTGTATATGAAGTCCGTGTAGTGTGAACAAGCACGAGAATAACGTATCAATTGAGATATGTAAACACCATACGAAGGGGCAGAGGGTATGTTACTGCTGAGAAATGGGAAATTGATAATTGGGAAGTTGAAATCGTCCCGTTTATCATAGATTTTCGTGTGAAGTCGTCCATCTGTGTCAATATTGAGGAAAAGATCAAGGTATGAAGCAGTCCTTCTAGTATCAGTAGTATCCTTAATTTCAAGTTCACTGGGATATATGAGATGTAAGTATTGGCTGAAATATGGGTTATTCACTGATAGAACATCATCAATATATTGGAAAGTAAAATTAAAGAATTTTGCAAGGTGCTTTTTCTTTTTGTCTTTTAGAAGGTTCTGAATGAATTCTGCTTCATATGAGTACAAAAACAAATCGGCCAGTAGCGGTGCACAATTAGTTCCCATTAGAATACCGACTGTCTGTTGAAATATAAATCCTCCAAACTCAACAAATATATTGTCTCTAAGATATGCCAAGCTCTTATTGTTCCCCATTCAACGCGTTGCGGGGGACATAGAAATACTGGGTG